CATAGATTATCAGGAGACTTTTGCCCCTGTTGCCAAGATGAATACCATCCGTGTATTATTTTCCGTTGCTGCGATTCGATATTGGCCTTTATTTCAGTTAGATGTCAAGAATGCCTTTCTCAATGGTGATTTGCAGGAGGAGGTGTACATGGTTCCTCCTCTGAGCTTTCATTCTCCTGCTCATTCTGGTATGTTCTATCATCTTCGTCGTTCTCTGTATGGCCTCAAACAGTTTCCTCAAGCTTGGTCTGATCGCTTTGGCACTGCCATGGTTAAGTTTGGTTTCCATCAAAGTGCAGCTGATCATACCTTGTTTTTATGTCATTCAGGTGGTAAGACAGTTGCTCTCATTGTGTATGTCGATGATATTGTTCTTACCAGCGATGATACTACCAGAATTGCTGAGGTTAAGAGCTATCTTAGCCATTAGTTTGAGATTAAGGATCTTGGTCCCTTACGGTACTTCTTGGGCATTGAGGTGGCTCGCTCCAAGGCTGGCATTTTCATCTCTCAACGCAAGTATGTTCTTGACTTGCTTTCTGCTTTTGGTCAGCTTGGCGCTCATCCTACTGATACTCCGATTGAGCAAAATCATCAGTTGGCTGATTCTGAGGGGTAGTTGTTTCAGATGTTGGTCAGCATCAACGACTTGTGGGGAAGCTCATCTATTTATCCATGACTCGACCTGACATTGCTTATGCCGTGAGTGTCGTGAGTCAATTCTTGCACTCTTCTCGTACCCCTCACCTTGATGCAGCTATTCGGATCTTGTTTGCCAATTATGGTCACTTACGTGTTGAGGCTTAGACATATGCTTATTATGCAGGATCCGTTTCAGATAGGAGGTCAACTTCGGGTTATTGTATCACTATTGGTGGTAACTTGGTTACTTGGCACAGTAACAAGCAGGATGTTGTCTCTCGATCTAGTGCAGAGGCAGAGTATAGGGCTATGGCTCTTGGGGTATGTGGGTTGCTATGGCTTAAAACCTTGATGATAGACTTGTGGCTTCCAGTGTCGCTTCCATTCTCACTCTACTACGACAACAAGTTTGCCATTAGCATAGCAACAAATCCCGTTCAGCATGACAGGACTAAGCATATAGAGGTGGACCGTCACTTCATTCGAGAGAAGATCATCTCTGGTCAAATTTGCACTCCATTTTTCACAAGCTCTCAGCAACTTGCAGACATTCTTACAAAGGGCGTCAGCAAGATTGTCTTTGAAAATGCATTATCCAAGTTGGGCGTTTCAGATATCCACACACCAACTTGAGGGGGGAGTGTTAGCATATATGATATCCACGATTTGTTGAATGACTTATCATAATAGCAAAGATTTGACTATGCATATGTTAGCATGTATGATAACCACGATTTATGGAATGACTTACCATATTAGCAGAGATTTGATTATGCTATAGAATATGCTTTAGAATATGTTGTGATTTGATTTAGATTTGATTTAGTTTTTTTTCTTGTAATATGAGCATGTGCTCTTTTTATCTATAAATACTAGAGTTGTGAATGAGTGATTCATCTCATTCAAGCCTTTACACAGTTCTCTCTTTTTTTCTTCTTTTTATATTTCTTCTATAGGGGTATCATAGCTTGTTGACTGAAGTGCTTGTGGAACTTGATTTATCTTTTCCAATTTAGCATCCAAAAAATTAGGACCATCCCTCTCTCTACCACTGCCAATCATCCTCCTTGTGACTAGGTCCTGAAAGACGCAATGTAAGGGAAAGAAAGTTATACTACAGTTTAGATGCTTCGTAATGCTACTGACCGAAAGAAGATTATTGGAGAGGTTAGGAACATGCAAGACAGATGAGAGGGACATAGAGGGGGTAACGGGAATTGAACCTTTGCCAGAGACAGAAGAAAAAGAACCGTCTGCTATCTGAACTTTTTGTCTACCTGAACAAGTAGTATAAGAAGAAAATAAAGTAAAAAAGCCAGTCATATGATCAGATGCCCCTGAATCAATGATCCAAAGGTGATCAAATGTATTACAAGATGCACTTAGAGCATTAGCCAAGTTACCTGAGTGGGCAAAAGAGGTGGATGATGTTGCCGGAGTCTCTAATTGTGATATTATGTGCCTGAAATTCTCAACGGCCTCCTTTGTAAGAGTAGGTGTATCACACTGAGTTGGTGGAGTCATAGTGGCTGAAGAAGATTCAACAGTAGTACAGTGAGCACGGAATCAAAAAACCACCACTTGACCGACCTCCTCTACCTCCAAACTGAGGACGACCATGTAGCTTCCAGCAATTTTCTCTAGTATGTCTAGTTTTGTTGCAATAATCACAAAATAATTTGTCTGTCTTCAGCTGAACTATCCATTAATTTATTCTTATCATATTTCTTGGTCCCTCCATTTCCATCTCGCTGGGTAGAGGCTACAAGTGCAGAGCTCTCCTGTGGCATTGACTGAAGCATAACAACACGTCTGCTTTCCTCACTTTGAACATATGCATATACCCCCATCAGAGAGGGAAGGGGCTCTTTACCTAAAATCTGAATTCTAACCTGGTCATATTCTGGATTTAAACCAGCTAAAAACTCAAAAATGCGTTCTTGTTCAATCAACTTCTGCAATTTAGCAACAGCTGCAGCACACTCCATATCTAGCCTTTGATAATGATCTAACTCCTGCCAAAAACCCCGCAGAGTATTAAAGTAAGTTGCCAATGATAAATTTCTCTGTTAGGTGTCATGGATTCGGCGCTTTAAATCATAAATTTGTGCCACATTACCCATCTTCAAATAAGTTTGGGATACGGCATTCCAAACGTCCTTGGTGGTTCTTAAGAATGGGTATCCATTACTAATTTCTGGTTTCATGGAGTGAAGAAGCCATGACATAACGGTTGAATTTTCAGCCTCCCATTTCTCATATGTGGGGTCAGCAACCTTTGGTTCCTCTGTCTTACCAGTTAGATAACCCATTCTTCCTTTACTTTTAATAAACAATGTTGCCGACTGTGACCAAGCGAGATAGTTTTGGCCATCTAACTTCACTGTTGTGATATGGAGAGTAGGGTTTTCGACATGAGTACTGCCTTAACTCAATATCCCCTGTTTTGGGATTTGGGATATCTCACTTTCTTGCGACATCTTGTGGTCAGCCTCAAATACCACTTAATCTCTTCCGATCACATAAGATAAAGCTAGTAAAGAAATATTGTAAAGCATAAAACGGAAACAAAGAGATAAATAAAACAAGTAGAACACATACATATTATGTGGTTCAACCACTAAGGCCTACATCCACGGCACAAAGAGCCAAAGGGGCTACATCACTTTTATAATACTCTTTCAATTCTTATACAATACAATGGTAAAGGCTCCTTCATATAGGGGAGAGAAATTATGAGAATGAAAAGAATTAGAAAATAGGAAACAAGGAGGATTTTTCTCCATTGATTCTTCTAGTAACACCAAATCTTTAATAATAGGAAATAACATCAATTACTGAAAGATTTTACTCCACTGATTCCTCCATTAAATCTTCAATACTCCCTCTCAAGTTGGAGCATGAATGCCTAACTTGCCATGGAGATGACGAGTAACAACAAGTGTAAATGATGAAGAGAGAAGACGAAAAACAATGCTACCGAACACACCGACAGCCCAAACAAGTCAACAACAGACACGGCAAAGGCGAGGACAATGCTACCGAACACACCGGCAACCCAAACAAGTTGATAAAAACTGCCGGAGATACGGCAAAGACGAAGACAATGCTGCCGAACACAACGGCAGCCCAAACAAGTCAATAAAAACTGCCGGAGTCACGGCAAAGACGAAGAACATTACTGCCGAACAAACCGGCAACCTAAACAAGTCACAAATAGCATTAAGAAACCCTTAGCAACATTTCAGATGCTAAGGGAACACCTCAAAATAAGGGTCCGAACCTAGGAAGATAAATTAGGCTCTGATATCATGTTGTAAAGCATAAAACAGAAGCGAAGTGATAAATAAAACAAGTAGAACACACATATTATGTGGCACAAAGAGTCCAAAGAGCTACATCACTTTTATAATACTCTTTCAATTCATATACAATACAATAGTGGAGGCTCCTTTATATAGGAGAAGAAATTATGAGAATGGAAAGAATTAGAAAATAGGAAATAAGGAGGATTTTTCTCCATTGCTTCCTCTAGTAACACCAAATCTTCAATAATAGGAAATAAAGTCAATTAGTGAAAGATTTTACTCCACTGACTCCTCCATTAAATCTTCAATAAGAAATTAAACACTAAGTGAAACTCTGGTGAGAAATAAAAATCCATAACTCTCAGCTATTTCTTCAAATATACACAACCACACAAACATTCCGATCAAAATCCTTCGTTACAAATTGGAGCACAGAAATCGCGTCAAAAAACCCTAGATCTGGATTCCTTCAAATCTCCTTTTTCAAAAAACGCAAAGAAATAGCAAACAGAATCAGATCAGGCTGAAAAAAAAAAAAAAAAAACACAAGAATCCCCAAACAGTGGCCAACATTGTGGCTCACTTGTATGTGTGGTATGTAGACGCGTTTTGAAAGCCGTGAGCACGGAGAGTGTGCAAAGTGGACAATATCTATGCAGAGTGGGTGGGCCATGATAGTTTATATGAGATGCAATGATGATTTTGTACAAAACAAAGAAGGGAGAATGAATTATTATAATCTAGAATTGTCGCTATTACCTTCCAAGGAATGCTGCTAAACAATATGGTACATGCTTATCTTGGCTCCTGGTGTGAGATGGTAAAAAGAAAAGTCTTCATTACTTTTATAGCTCTCAACCCAGAATATAAAGCTGGGAATAGCTGCATCAAATGGTACCACTTGGGTGGTTAAAAAAGTTCTATTTTAATGTTGGGAGATGATCATTATTGTTTTTTATGGGAAGATTTCCTCAAGTTACACATTTATTACTCATTATTGAAATATGAACTCCCCTTTTAAGTTTTGCTTATTGATGTTCCATTTTGCAGCAATGGATATATCTTCTGATCTCACAGAGCTTGGAAGGACTCCTATAGCAGTAATCTCTGCCGGTGTAAAATCAATATTGGATATTCCCAAAACCCTCGAGTACTTGGTATTTTTAGTTCTATCTCTGAATATCATGAGAAGCCAATGAACATCAATTCAAGCTACTAATGAACAATTATATTCTTTTGCCCTGATGCAGGAAACTCAGGGAGTTTGTGTTGCTGCTTACAAGACCAATGAGTTTCCAGCATTTTTCACCGAAACAAGTGGCTTTAAGGTATTTACGCTCTATATCACTTGATACAATGGTTATAAAAAGCGATCGAGGTCACAATTGTGGTTGCAGTGTCGCCATTTTGGGCTGTAACGGGGGTGACATAATTGGTATTGGCCATCAGGATCATAATAATTTTCAAGACTAAGAAACATGATCAAAACAAACTGATACACAAGTTTTCACTACAACAATTAAGGAAACCATGTTTGTAGAGATTTTTAATGAATTTTATTGAACATGACAGTGTGATCAACGCTTTTTAATTCATTTTTACTTAATAATAATTTGTTCGTTGCACAAGCTTTATGGTGAGAAATTCATATATTAAAACAAAAAATAAACATGTCATATTCACAAAAATCATATATACTCACAACTTAGTTGGAAATGAGTATACCTATCATTGGCACTTGGAAATCAGATACATTAAAGATTATATGCACTTACTTATTTGCTTGTTTCTATTTCTAAATAATTTTTCAATTTATTTTTATTGATCTTTTGATTTTTAAGTCACATTCTTCTTAACTCTTTAGCTGACCCCAATTAATAGGGAAAAGGCTTGGGTGGTGATGGTGGTGTTGTTTTATGAACTTTTTTTTTATGCAAAAGAAATCTATATTTAATATATCCATAATATGAAGTTTGTTTATGCTTTATTGTTCTTATATGTTACTAATTTGCTAAAATTTCAAAACGTACCAACTAATCAACAGTTTTATTTTTTCATAAGTATTAATCTTGAGTTCAGAATACTTAGGACATAAGCCTACTGAAAAATCTCGAGTTTTTTGCTTCTTGATTTGTAAATCTATAGTTTGGTTTGGTGGGGTTTTGGTTTTCCTCTCTACTTTGGTCTTAAGATTTGGAAAAAAATGGAAGAAAAAACTGAATATCAGGTTTTGAACGCAGGCCGAGTCACAGCGGTCTCGGTTCAGACTTCATGTATGACAGCAGTAATTTTTGTTCTGGTCTAGATCTCATCCTGACTCGGGTTCAACTCTGGCCGCCTCGAAATTATGCTCAATTCTATTCTTTGGAGTTGCAGATGTATTTTTTCAAATAAGCTTGTGGTGTTATCAATTTTTTCTTAGTAGCTGATCGTTCTGGTTCAACTTATATGCTATGCCAACTTACTATTAGATGGTATGTTTTGTTAAGAACCATCTACTCCAAAAGCTTAAGTTATTAGAAAGGGTGTAACTTAAATATATATATCCTTCAACTTGCCCCCTCACGTGTGGCTTTCTTTTGGTCCAACACGTGTTTTTCAATTTTTTTTAATTAGGGTGACGGTGAGGTTTGAACTCGAGACCTTTGGCTTTGATACCATGTTAACAACCATCTACTCCAAAAGCTTAAGCTATTAGAGAGGGTGTAACTTAAATATATATATCCTTCAACAAGTTAGAATCAATATATTTGAACAAAACCAAGGTTTTCAACACCAAACAATGCCTAAAAGAATAGCAAGGTTGGATTACTAGAAAATGGAGATCAAAGTGGTAATGACGAGCAGATTGCACTGAAGTATGGGTTTGTAGATCATAACAACAATGTGGAGTAGAATGTCTCTTGTTAATCTGGATTTTAGACTCTAATACATTGCAATACCTTTCTTCATAGTTGTTTTAATTTGCTTGGTTTAAGTTCTCATTGTTTTTTCCCTACGGGGTTTTCAAGGTAAATTTGGCGTTCTATGTTAAATTTTTTTTTTTTTTATTCTCCCAGTGTATTTCCTTTATCTCTTTCAGATTCCTTCCTCAGTGGCTAGAAGGATTGAGAGACTTCAGAGGAATTTTCTTTGGGTCGATTTAGGGGAGGAATTCAAGTATCATCTTGTCCATTGGGAGCAGCTGTGTGGACTGATTCAGTTGGGTTGGTTGGGATTAGGAGGATGACCCTCAACAGGGTTCTCCTGGGGAAATGGTTGTGGAGATTTGGCATTGAGCGCTAGAGGTTTTGGAGGGGGTTATATCTTGCCGTTTTGGGAAGGAGAGAGGGGGTTGGTGTTCTCCCGCGGTCAAGATCCGAGGACGTGTTGGGGTCTGGAAATTCATTCGGAAGGGATGGGATGAATTTTCCAGACATATCAGATTCAGAGTGCGGGATGGTAGGGGCATTCATTTTTATGAAAATATTTGGTCTGGTGATCGTCCCTTGGCTCGTTCTTTCCCAGTCTCTTCAGGAATGCTGTTGATAGGCATGCCTTGGTTGCTGGCTGTTTAAAATTATATTTAATTACTTCATCCCGTGTAATTTTGTAACTGGGGCCAAATTGGGGTTGTGCAATATTTCTAGGGATGTGATTTGGGAGCTGTCTATTTATTTTCTTTAGAACGTCTCGCAAAAATTTTGCTGCAAAAGCAGAGATTTGTTATTTCTTGAAGAAGACCTCAGGGAAGTGCTGACTTTGAGTCTTCAGCATTGTTTGATTATGGGAAACTCTGATGTCTGTGTTGTTTGGATGAGATCTCAGTTATAGGGGCTTCTTGAAGTATGGTCGCTATGTTAGGAGATGTTAGGAGATTGTTGCTCTGTTCATGTTGCCAGAGGCAGCCATGAGACACACTTCTACATCGGCAATTGATCAAGCTGCCCTCTCAGCTTCCGATATTAAAAAGAAAAAAATAAACTGACTTCCTGGCTGGCAGGGAGCGACTGTGGGCTTTCTGTGAGTTACTTGCAGCTGTTGGGGGGATTTTATGGTTTGGATTTACTTCAATGGGTTTCTCGTTGTTGTGGTTTTGTTTGGCTTCTCATTTTTAGGTTGGAAAGATTCCTCATGCTTCCTTGTACATCTTTGTACTATATGATGGTAGTTTTTGTTTAACCGTTTCTAATTTAAAAGGGGGAAAAGGAAGGGGCTTAGTGTAACTGATTTTCTTTTTGTTTTTGGTTGATTTGTGACAATGATCTAGGCGCCTTGTTGTGTAGATACACCAGAAGAGTGTGCTCAGCTAATCGGTAAGTAACATTCAGCTTATTCTATCTTTCCTCCCGTAATTTATTAAATTTCATCTGAACACGATTATTGTTAATTGCAGCTGCTAACATGGAACTCAGGCTTGGAACTGGTATTTTGATAGCAGTCCCAATTCCAAAAGAACACTCTGCATCCGGAAGTTTAATTGAGTCTGCAATTCAGAGAGCTCTTAAAGAGGCTAGGTGAAAGCTGTTTTGTGCTGATCAAATACTTGATCGTCTATTTATCTAGTACCATATTTGTATAATAATTTATATATGTTGGTGTTCTACCTTAGGGAGATGAGTATAATGGGTAATGCTGAAACGCCATTCTTGCTTTCTAGAGTGAACGAACTAACTGGAGGAGCTTCTTTAGCTTCAAGTATCCTTTTTCTAGTGCTTCTAGAATAATTTTATAATTAAAAATATATGTCGCTTAGGCTGATGAACTGATTAAGTTAGAACGGCGAATTAACAAAACAGTCTGCATCTCTTTCGAGATCATAATTTTATTTACTTCCCATAAAGTTTATTCTTTATCATTTCTTTCCTTTGTTATAGAAGTCCTTAATGAAGTCTTAGACATTGCACTTGTGAAAAATAATGCACGAATTGGTGCTAAGATTGCAGTTTCCCTTGCTCAGCTTCAAGAATGGAGCTGCAAAGGTTGGTTTTGATTTTTATTTATTGTTAATTGTTTTGATTTGCTGCTTATGGCTACATGTCTCATCTGAACAACTAAAACATGGGAGTCCTTCTGGTTCCATGGGTTGAAACTTGACATGACATTTTAATGGTGTTGGAGGATGTACCTCTGGCACTAATACATTTAGGTCAAAAGGACGGTATGATCCTCTATTTGCAAACTTTGGCCTAGGATTTTACCCAAAACTTTTATAACCGTTTTTATAAACAAAGTGAGATCAGTGAGTGCAAAACTGTGTTATACTTGTATGCAATGTAAATCTCTGTTCTTGGCCGGCTGGTCCAGTCTTGGGCGTGGATGTGGGCTTTAAAAAGTTGGGGCACTAATTAATTGATTGATAAGATAATTACTTGAAAGCCATGTATAGGGGTAGAGCACCGAAGTGGTTTTGGTACTTGTGGTGGCTTCCCTTTTCATGAGGCTAAAACTAAAAACACAACTCAGTCAATAATTCAGTTGCATTTGCTGTAACCAAATCTTGGAGAATCAGTGTTGAACATCCCATGCATAGGAGTAGAGCACTGAAGGGGTTCTGGTACTTGCAGTGGTACTGGTCGCGAGGAACAAAATCACACAACTCAGTCAATTATTAAGTTCCATTTACTGTAACCAAATTTTGGAGAATTAGCATTGAACATCCCTTTGGCATCATTCTCTATATACAAGATTAATTTTGGCCTCGTTCCATCATTTATTCCCCTTTTTCTTGACAGGTGAAGCAAATTCAGAATGACCGTTATTGATGTGGCGGCAAACTGACTCGTGAAGTTTATTTCTGTTGTTGACCATTTTTGTATTCAAGCTACTCTCACGTGCTTAAGACGAAATGGATTATGAAAGAAAAAAGAAGCACGGTGAGACTTAGAAAATGTGCAATATTTGCTGCTCAAGTTGTAGAAGTCGATCACAATCACCACAACCGGGGATGGCTGAATTCAAATGGTATGAAGGTTTCACTCTTGCTTACCAAATAGTGGCTGGTGACTTCTGTTTTAGCTATCGTGTATTAAATTTAATGATCTTATGTTTTGGGAATTCGGTAGGATTTAATTTCATTCCAACTTCTCTAGGAATTCTAGCCATTTCCCACATATTTTTGTTGAATTAATGAATTAATTTTTCAGAATCTAAATGTATTGATAAATGCATGTATATGAATGTGTTTTATTTATAATGCATCAACTACTTAACCGTTGGTTGGATGTCAAGAAGGAAAATGGGAATGAGATGTTCAAACATGTGTGTAATAGTCTTCCTGTTTTCAACATGTGTTTTTTTTTTTTTTTAAGTTGATACTCACACATTTGTCTCTTCTGAGACTTGAACTCCTGATCTTCCTTTGGGAGGTAAGAGGCTGATACCGCTAGGCCATTGGCCTGTTTTCAACATGTTTGTCCTTTTTATATCTTCAAAATTCAAATGGAACAGAGAAAAGGAATAGGAATGAATTAATTGAATGGTTAAAACTCGTTCGATTTCGATGTCTGGTTGGACAATTATCGAATTTACACCCATTATTTTTTGTTGAATCCTCTTTTGCAGAATAAAAGTTATTTTCCAGCAGTTTCGCCAAGACAAACCTATTAGGTGAATTCATGCATTCTAATTTTGAAATATATTTTTCAAAACATATTACATACAAATCTAGGGAAGAAAATAACCCCTCAAGAATCATGACCTATTTCAGCTGCTCTGGTGGCCTCTCATGATCTTTGTTTCCTTTAAGTAAGGTTATATATAGATGTATATAAAGAAACACCACTCACACACCCGTATGCCCTTAAAAAGGCAAAGAAGTACCACTCGACTGGGCCATTTGATGTCTTTAAACAAGTTCGGAGAGCTTTGTCACCCAATGTTTGGGATATTTTGGAGGCTTTTAATGAAATGGAAATATAGGATTCATATACACGATTCTAAATAGTTGGAGAAAAGGTTTGTGCCTGTTTAGCTTAATCATTTCTCTACCTTAATCATTTCTCTTTTATAGATGACTTTCGCTAGAAATACTTTCCCCATTCTATAAATATATGTAAATATTGTTAAAAATCATGTCTAGTTCTTTCTACGTCGTGAAAGAAACAAAATTAAGAGAAATGTGATAATAATAAATTTACTCCCAATGCTTATGGGAACTGGTCATATTATAGGCAGAATACAAAATTACGATCACTAATTTTTTTAATCTGAAGTTGCATCTGCTGCCATTTTTGATACTGATTGAAGCAAATGACAATTGTTCTCAGAGAAATTCTTTAATGTCTTTTTCTAACTGAATTTTAGAAATTGTTAAACAGATTTTAATTTTTAGTTCTCTTTTTTAATAATAATAAATAACAACTTTTCTCAGAAAATTCAGACCCTAAGTTTTGTCATTCTAATAAATATAATAATATATGAGAAAAGTATGTTTAAATTTTATGCAAAAATAGAGTAGTCCTATTGTTGCCTATGATCTCGCAAACGATGTATTTGCTTAGAAGATCAATGCTCAACGAGTCATTAAATGAGCAACAATGTATCCTATCAATTAATAATGATAATTCAAGAAGCTAATGTCAATATTTGAAACATTGAATTCTAATAAATAATAATTAAAAAAAATTGTAGTTATAGCAACATTGTACCTTACAAATATTTACTCTTCACCTACGTTTACTCTTTGGAAAATTTAATAAATGACTTAGGGTGGTCTTACAAATATGATCGTATCTAGTATGTGGATGAAAGAGGCCAATAAACTAAAATCATTATCAAATAAGGAATTCTACTATTTTGGTTCAAAATGCCCTTTAACCATTTTTGAGTCATTTACACACACCTCCATATTAAAATTTTATAAAATATTTCAAATTAAAACTAAAATTGAAATGACTATATTACCCTCATTATATTGATACATATCATCTAACAAATCATAAGACCTAAACACACAAATCAGTTCTCCTTTGCTCATCCTAAACTTGCCCCAACCTGCTCCGCTCAAGAAGACTTTCTCACGACCAGCGATAACTTTGATCTGAGTTCACAGCAACATGGCTGGCGGCAACTATAACGACCCGAACTAGGGGGTCCGAATAGTTTACTGGGTCCTTACCCAAATCCGAGGTCATCTAAGGCATTACCGTCATTTCCTATATTAATGCATAACATATATACGTCATCCCAAGACTCATAGTACATCATATCACTAACATCACAGAAAACTCACAAATGCATGTAGAATGGCAACGTCGTCAGTTTATGGATACAAGTTATACATCCATACTCCTCTGGTTTCCTGAAAATGTTAAGTTAAGGGGTGAGCTCAACAGCTCAGTAGGTAATGCCTAAAACACCGATTTTGGACTCCCTTGAGCCAACAACCAAAGAACTGGAATAGAAAAGAAGCTGGGGTCATGCAATTGGAGTCCGTACAACATTTATAACATAACAATCAATACATGCAGTCACATATCACAATTCTTCAAAATCATGAACGTGATATGAAGTGTGATGCATCCCATCCCAAACTTGGTCTATACTGAACCAATAGTCACTTTTCAAAAACCTGCTAATTGACTTTACCGAAGCAAGGTTGATAGTTATCCCCGGTTTTAATTCTGGCAAAGCCTGGCAACTGTTAAAGGGCCTAGTATCAACTTTTTCACGCCCTACACCAGGCTGCGCTCCCTCTAGGTCAACCTAGCCCCGAACTCGTGAAATCCGGTTCATTTCTAAATCCTTTACAAACACATTTCTTTAAAAAGAATTATTTCAACCTCACTTTTCCCAAACCATGCCAATGCCATGAATGGAATCATGCATGAATGAAAGTGAAATAAACATGCCTCTACTTTATTAGTTTAGCCATATATACTCATCATCATATATATGTAATCTCAATAAACAAATTTAACGCATGGCATGTTCATTAACAACATTGCAACTAAGCACATATATACATACACAACTAATATCAATTAGAGCATATATCATCGCATAAACACATAACCGATATTCAATTTTTTTTTCCAAAATTTATCATTTTAAGCATGTTTATCAAGAATTCAAGCATACGAACTCAACTAAAATCAAAACTTAATGGTTTAGATATCCCTACCTCAAAAGTAGCCAAAATGCATCCCCGGCCAAAAAAGTCAACTCCAGTCAACACAGTCAATGCCGGTCAATGGAAGTCAACGCTGGTCAACGGTGGCAGAACAGAAAAATTTTCCGTAGGAATGTAGCCGACGATGAGGAGATTCTACTGTTCCAAAGGCGTGCCTCCGGAATCCGACTCCAAGTGACCCAAAATCCCCTCTGAAATCTTAGAACTAAAAACTTCAAAAATTCGTAAAATAATTACCGCTCCTCCAAAAATTAAATCCTTCGACTATGTGATAGAGAACAACAAGAGGAACCTTTTCCATCAAGGAACCAAGACAGAAAACCTGGCTGATTGGCCGGAAAGTGGAGGAAAATATGAAGCTTAAAAGAAATGAAAAAAAAAAAAAAGGAAGGAGAGAATCTGACGAGGGAGAGAAGAACTGAGGCTGTAAAATGGCCTCTTGGCCATTCAAATGGTTAAGTGGGGATTGGGCCACACAAATATAAAAATATCCTCATGTTGACCTTAAGGATTTCATCCAATGACAATCTAGATGTTTTGATGATAACAAACCATTAATGGTGTTTAAGGACTAATGTTTACATTTAGTGTTATATAGATTATTCACATTTAAAGAATGACCTCAATGAAGCTATAAAGATCATTCCAAGTATTCCATTATTCAAGATCACATCCATGAAAGAAATGGATACAAAGAAGAGTTGAAGTTGCAAGGAGCCAAATGCAAAGTCCATCCAAAGATAACGTGGACTACAATGAGGAAGCAAGCAACTCAAAGAAAGGAAGAAAGCAAGAGTACCTCAAAGCTTAAACGATCATAGACAAAGCATGAAGAAAGGGGTAGATAGGTTGGTGAGTGTTAAAGATTCTATGTCAAGGTATTTATGAATCCATTTGAAGCTCATCTCTATAGGATCATGCATATCATCATTATCATTCATATGTTCCTATATTCATTAACAATAGACTATGCACTTCATACATATATATTTGCACATGAAGTCATTGTTAAAGAATGAGTTGGTTCAAGCTTGCTTAAGCTTTGAAAGAACTCATCACTTATTCTATAAATGCTAAGACCATGCACATCAATCACATAATTCATATTAGTCAACAATTAAGGCATATAAAGCTTTCATTACCATGAGTTGGTAACGGACATTAGGACCCCTGAATGCATGTCATGAAAAACTATGTTTTTGGCTAAGTATGAAAAATGGCTAAGTGTGAAAAATGAATTTTTGAAATAATGATTATTTGAAAATAATTTTTCCCAGTAATTACTCCTGACGCTTCAAATAGCTAAAACTGATTTTATGGGATTTTATGACTAAGTTTACATTGGTCTACATAAGGATTCATTTTTACCAAAACTGTCGAAAATCCAAATTTGTATTAAAACTGAATTTTCACATTTTGATTTAGTTGGATTTCAATTTTTTTATATTTTTTATTGAATACAAATGGGGGGTACTTCTTTATTTACATTGTAAACTTAAAGTAAATTGACATATGAATACTGTAAAGACATTTACTTAAATGTTTTCAATGGAAATAAACTGTGTGCAGAAGTCTTGAGCAGAAGCCTGTTGCAGACCGCAAACAGGTTCGATTTTCTGGTAAAATGCAACTGAGCCAATCATTTACACTAAGCATCTAAATATTGAGGCATCACAAAACAACAAGAAAATAGGCTAAGGGACAACTCAGCCGACTCAGTTAGCAATCCAACCGACTCAGTTCACAACTGAGCCGACTTAATTAACAATCCAGCCGACTTGATTAGACCGAGGCTCATCAAGTTTAAAAAACAACTCAATTCACAACTGAGCCGACTCCCTTTCTAATTCAGTCGACTCGATTAGGCCGAGGCTCATCACTTTCAAAACCCTAAAAATGGATAACTCAGCCGACTCAGTTTTCAACGAAGCCGCCTCAGTCTTGAACTGAGCCGACTTAGTTCACAACTAAGTTGACTAAGTCCTGAAGGAATAGCCAACGGCTATATTCCTTCTGTGTCAAAGTTGCGCATCTTCTTTAATTCTTCTGCAATCTTGCTCCAGGCTTTATACAGACCTTTATACACATATT